AACCAAATGACTATGTATCATAACAGTGCAATCTTCGTCAATTCTCTAGTCCAACTACAAAAATGCAACTTGTCTCCCGAGCTCCATCGCTCTCAAACCTTGACTGGATTGAAAAGAAAGGCAGCATCTTGTTTTTGGTATAGCTGTACCTTGGTATTCAGAACGCAGTTGCGTCGATCCCCAAAATGCGTGGATGTACCTGGGATAAGTAGGATATTGACCCGCGTACTCGGGTGTTACCGTACCCTCATATCAACCCTCCTGCTACGCAGTCGGGATGATATTCGGGAGGTAACACCCTCGTACTTGGGTAATATCCTATACTTATACAGTCAGAAAGTGCAACAACTACTAGGCACAAAACTGACAGAGTACTGAGACATTCGACGTCCTGACACCTAGCTTCAACACATCTCCGTAGACAGCCTTCGTACAGGGGCGGATACAGGGGGGGGGGGTTCAGGGGGTTCGGACGAACCCCCTAAAATAATTTCGACCGTGGGTCCAGTCGACTTTTTGTGATATCCACGTGCGCAGCCAGCGAAGTGTAGCGTAGACTTACATGCAGCGTAGCCAGTACGGCAGTAGACTTCACTGGCGCCATGGCATGCATCCTGCATGCAGTAGTCACGTACAGGCATGGCAGTGCAGGTACAAGGTCACTGCATGCATGCATGCAGTGGTCGGGACTGTTGTACCCGTACCGTTCGAATCGAAGGGTCTGTACGCGTATCATGTGACTTGAAACGATCGACAGTTCAAGTGGTGGAGCAAAAGGTGGAAAAACTGCCACTTGTCCTCCTTCCTTGTCGTTTTGTTTTATTTCGCGCTGGCTGGACTGTAGGTTTCCTCCGTCACAGTACGAAGATAATGTTTGTGTTTGTCGTGTAGTTTGCCATGTCGCGGTGGAGTAAAAGGTGGAGAAACTGCCACTTGTCCTCCTTACCTTCCTTGTCGTTTTGTTTTATTTCGCGCTGGCTGGACTGTAGGTTTCCTCCGTCGCAGTACGAAGATAATGTTTGTGTTTGTCGTGTGGTTTGCCAAAGAGGCGAGCGGCCGATCAGTTGCCATTGAGCTTGGCTTCGTTCCGCCGTGTACGACGCGAATGTGACGACACGCAGTCCCAGCCGGAGGACAGTCTCAGAGAACTTCGCCTTCCGTCAGTTCAGAAAATGCTGCAGTCACGGCCTTAGTTTCTGCCTGTGCTGCAGCTTTGTACTTTGTAAGGCTCTAAACGCATTACCCTTGTCTTATTGGCCAAGCAATGCAAGGGCTACCGTGACAATAAAGATTTTGCAACTCCCGGTGTAGTGAACGAACCGAAAACAGTTTGAAGCGAATTTAATTCTGTGCACTCGAAAACATTTGAACCCCCCCCTGAAAAATTCCTGGATCCGCCCCTGTAGTATATAGTATCTGGTTACAGTGATGGAGAGTTACTCTCAACTCGTACCTATATTATAGTATATTTCCTTTTCCCGTATGTCACGTGATTGTCGCCTTGGAGATGACCAAATGACAGATCAAACAGCGCGGGCTGGAAAGCGCGGTTCTGCCTGCTCAAAGGTGATGGAACTGGATCCACTGCCCGTCGTCAAGTGACGACGGGCAGGAACGGATTCCACTGCCCGTCGTCACTTGACGACGGGCAGGAACGGATTCAACTGGCCGTCGGGCAGTAGCCACTGGACTGACTCTACTTCAAGGTCTTTCATTGGTTACTAATAAAATAACTTAAGCAGAAGAGCGACTGTTTGCAACCACAACTGTCATCATGGCGCTCCAACATTTGATCTGGAACTGGGAGAAAAGAAGCCCCTTTGTTGAACGATATTGATGCGAATGAGCTCCTCCGAAAAGTTGAGGAAGAGACTGAAATTTTTATTGCGGACAATGCGGAGTCGCTCGCGAAGGAGATCTTGGACGAGCTGGATGAGCCTCAACCAAAGCGCGCAATGCTCAGCAACCTGCAGGATCCGCGCAATTTGCCGAGGTTTCCGATCAAGACGTGGGAAAAATCCGTAGGAACAGAACAGACAGAATGCCCGATGCCCAGTCGACAATGTCAATGGCACCGGGAGAAAAAAGCACTATGGACTACTACAAAAAACTGTACCAGAAAACAATCACAAAACACAATGCAGGTGTGTCTGTCATGTATCTCTTTATTTGGCTTGGGTGCACACGGGAAACACGGTCCAGTCACTCATACTCGGCCAGTACCGCTGTTCATCCAGCCCTTGCCACTATCGCGGCGCGGGCTGGATTCCGCGGTACTGCCCTCGTACTCGTGCAGGAATCTGTACTTCCTTTCTACATTTATTATTGGCTCAACATCCGAGTTTCAAGTAATAATGAGAAATAAGAATATGCATGCTGATGATACACCGCATTGTCGATGTAAAACATGGTACCTGTACAAGAGTCGACAAGCTCTCAACAAGGTTGAAATGCATGATAATGAAGCCTCCCGTAGCGCAGGAGAGAGCATGTGCAACAGTGAACGTTGCACCACACGAGCAGGTTGATGGCAGTCGGTCCGGGTGCCACCCATAGCGAAGCGCCAGCCCATCACGAAGCTGGCCCTTCGACAGGGTAAAGCCATGACGTGCTAGTGGGGGGGGGGGGGCATGTAAGCCAGCTTGAGTGAGGCTCCTTTCTCGCTGCCAAGCTCCATGGCACGCGCGCTTGACTGGGGGAGATGCATCATTTGCGAGCTCCATGGCACGGTGAGCCACCGACCTTCGCTGTTCACGCCGTATCTCACCTTTGCGGTCCCTGACCTCAGCCAATGACTCTCCCAGGATACCTGCCTGAGTGTTCATTTGATGGACTAGCGCAGTAGTGATGTGCCGAGAAGCCGAGTACTGAGTGGAGAGAGATGTAGGATCCGCCAGGCCAAGACCACCATGGCGACAAGGAAACCCAATGAGGCTGCAGTACTCTTGGTCGATGTGTTGGCCAGTCAGCACTGGGATCAGCTCTGTAGTGATGTGATGTTCCAGGGATCCCAGCTGCTCAGCCGCCCCAGCTAGTGTTCGACAGATGAAGGTCCACTTGTGCTGAAGGCCTCTGGTGAAGGCAGTGCCGCACTATTATTATGCTGCCTGAGGTTGAGTGCGTGCATACTCTGTGAGGATAGCTACCTCAGCAAGCCATTCCTCACACTTCTTCTGGACCAACTTCTGGCAGTACTCCAGTGTGCCGATGGCAGCGCCAAGGTATCTATGGCCCTCCTCGGTGATGCGGATCCCTGAGCCAGCGACCACTCTTCGAGCTTCATCCAGGCGCTCAGGCTTATATTAACTACGAGGACTGACTTTGAGGATTGGCTTGATAGCCAAAAGCTGGGCCCCGTTCCAGCAAACAATCCCACCATACCTTCAATCGCACCATCTTGCCGCCAGCAGATGAATCATCAGCATACCAATGTTGGCATGCCCCGGGCCATCAGTAGCTACGGACGTGATCAAGGGCAGGATGCCGATGGCATAAATTGGCATAGCCAGCGGGTCACCCTGCGTGGTTCCCTCCCATGACTGGATGGTTTCTCCCCCAACATGCAAGTTGGCGGGGCTGCGGTAGCAGTTGATGACAACCGTTGCTAGGGCTGGGCATGACAGGCGGATGTTGTGAATACATGCCGCACGGTTGAGGCTGTTAAAGGCGTTGCTGGCGTCAGCCATCAGCACACCGTCGACCTCAGGGGAGTTGTATACATGGCGTGAATGGTGGCCTCAATGCCACAGTGTTGGCCTGCACAAAGTTTTTGGCTACCTGCTGCTTCCTGGATATCATTTCCAATGATTGACAGGATTGCTTTTCCAATCACACGTCGGATCACCTCACCAATTCCAATGGGTCTGACCCCTGGGTTTTTGGCCAGGAGCACAAGCCGAGATGCAAGATAGGCCTCTAGAGAGGAGGGGTTGACATACTTCGTTGCTAGGCGGCATGCACAGCAAGCTGTTGAAGAGAATCACACAAGGCATCCGAAGCATCCGAAAAGCTGGTGCATAGCGAGTGTCATGTGTCAGCGTCCACTCCTGATGGTCCCGCAGCTCCATTTGTGTGTAGACCTGCCTGGCGTGTGGCATCTCGGTTCAACTTCTCAAATCTGACTGGGTGGGGTGACGTGGGGAAGGGTCCTTGCATCAGGGCTTCGTGACTCAAGGGGGCTGCAGGATGCTTTGCCTTGAGGACCTGACGAACTGTTTCCCCGGCAATCTGGTCGTCAAACTCCCTGGTTGAATTTGGCCGCAATCTGCTCTCGGGACCCCTAGGCTAGCCGGCTCCCTGACCTGCTCCATCTCCGCCATCGTCAATTTACTATACTGCGTATCCACCCAGGCCAGGACTGCACTTACTTACGGGAAGGAGCATTTGCAAGATGGAACCTGGGAACTGGAAGACGACGAAGAAGAAGCGTGGGAATCTGGCGGCAATGGTTGGGATGTAAGTCCAACATTGCTGGTGCTAGAGTTGCCACTGCTTGCTTATAAGGGAATCATGTGTGTTGCCTTTTTGCATTTTCCTCCGTCCTCCTCCGACTGTACTTCCAGGACTGAACTTACCGGAAGGAGTGCTTCCAAGATGGGAGACGAAGAAGAAGCCGCTGAATCCGGCGGCAATGGCTGGGATGTAAGTCCAACATTACTGGTGCTAGAGTTGCCACTGCTTGTTTATAAGGAATTCATGTGTGTTGCCCTTTTTGCCTTCTCCCATGTTCTCCTCCGACTGTACTGGTGAACGCTGTCACATAATGTTGCCCTTTCCAGGCAGTAGAAGGGAGGGGCGGGGGGGGGGGGCGCACATCCTGGCATCCAGGAATGCTGGGTGGAACTAGGCAATCTGACCTTTCCTCTTACTCCAATGATGGCATGGATAGGGAGTTCTTGAACGTCCTCAGTCTTGTTAGAGTGAACTGTGCAACTCGGCAATCGGTGATAGCAGAGGACCAATGCCGATGGCGATGCTTCTTCCTTTTTTCTCTGTCACGGGCTGCGTTCTCGAGAAGAAGCGTTATTTCTGCATTCCAAGAAGGACGGCACAATGGTGAGCGGAACTTCGTGGTGTGCAGCCTTGCTAGTTGAGTTGTAAATCAACCATTCTTCCTGTCTCTGACTTCTTCAATGTCCTCCTCAGTGTCGGACTGTCCGCGTCGCATTGAACTGGTCCGATGAGGCTGCTATTGCACACACAGTGAGGGAACTCCCATACGGGAACTCGGAAGTACTGCTACAGTACAGGTAAGGTGGTCGTTGCTTATGTGCGTGCGCCGTTGTTGTCAACTTTTAAGCCAGATGTACTCGGACCTACATGGAGTCTGAAAGTAGTCAGCTGGCGAATTACAATTGAAGCTTAGACGTTGGATGCGTTTGGTCAGCTTTTTCAGTTTCACAATGCAGCACCGCTTCTCGGAATATCTTGTCAGGATAGCTGTGGAACGCATCCTCACCAGTGGGGAACGGCAAATGTGCTGTTCATTTTAGTCTTGCTTTTATAGTACGTACAATCCCCATTGAAAAGACATAGTGGAGACGAGACACTGCAAATATATGTTGGGAACCGCGAAGACCACCCTTCCTTGCCAAGTTCCCTGAGGGTGTGGACGGGGGGGGGAGCGGAGGAGGGACATTCCTGCACTGCTTAAAGCAGGATTCACAGGAGCATTTTCAGAAATTGCTTGTACATTTGTACCAGTTGTAACCGACAAACGCATTCTCATTGAGCTTTGACTTGAGGCACGTCAGCAAGACGCTGTTGCATCGTTTACGTCTTGTCGTGATTCTGTGAATGGTGTTTTGTGCGAGTTTGCATCGCACGCAGAATCGCAGATCGTGTCGCATTGCGCAGCACACTGCCAAATTGCTTCTGTGAATCCCACGTGAATGGAAATTCCAATGGGAATGTAGTCCATTCCCAGCAGGTGTATTCCCGAGCTGCGCATCATACTGCAAAATTGCTCCTGTGCATGCAAGTGGATTTCATTGCTCTTCTCAGTTTGGGAAATTCTCGATTATGCTAATTCTGCGTGTGTGTGTACACCAGCCCTGAACATACATGTAGTTGACCCATTTGTGGTGTCTCATAGCCTACCTCACGACCTTATGCTTTCTTTCTGCATCACTTGCATCTTGCAGGTATATCATCCCGTGACGACCACATCGAAGTCTGAATTTGAAGTGTGAGTATGCTTCAGCAACCCCTTCATATTTTTCCATTGCTTTTATTGTGCTTCTACTGTGCATGTGTGTAACTTGTGGGGTATGCATGTGATGACAATGTATGCCGGTGACACGGTCAGATATTGTCCATGCGTGTAACGTACACCTGCATGCTCTCGTTGAAAAGGATCTGCCACTTACGATCTTCGGACGAGTATCAGGTCAGCTTGGTTTTGTGTGGGCTGTACCAGATGCTGTTCATTTCTCTATCTGTTGGATATGTGACTTTCCGCAAGTTTCTGGTGTATGATGGCCACTTCTTTGCTTGTCTTTGTATGACTTTACAATCATTCTGTATTTACTGCTTCCATGGTGTGGTCTGCAAACTGCAATCCTTAGGCAAATATCATCACGGTTTGCAATGTTGTGCTTTGGCCGCCAGCTTACCTACACATTGTAGTTGAATTATTTTTGTTTCGCAACTGACTTCCTGAAGTATGGTAGCCACTGCTTTGCATGGCATTATACAATGTTCATCAAGAATTTCCTGTTTGGGTCGTGTGTGTGTGTGTGTTTATGTGTGTGTGTGTGTGTGTGTGTGTGTGTGTGTGTGCGCGCACGTGCCCATGTGTGTGTGCCATGTGCATTTGCGTGTTTGTCACCGTCGGCAATGTGTCTCTATGCGGGGTAGCGAGGTGGGGAGGGCTGGAATGTATCAGTGTGCTATTGCAGTCGCATGGCTACATACAGTGCATCGCGCGCGTGCTCACCATGTTTATCTTCTGAACTGCGCCGGGATGGGGGAGGGAACAGAAAAAGAACTGAAATTACCCGTATAAAAACCGCTCTGTGAGCGGTTCTGAAAACCTCTACCAGTGCAGCCCCGTCGTAAAAGTAAGAAATTAGAACTGGCGCATTGTCCTCCCAAATGTGAACTGATCCACCTAAATCGTGATTGACGGGACCCGAACGCACCAGTAGCACGAGGTCGGGAGGGCACAGGATCACAGCAATGGGCCGGCGCCGTCGCTGATCAAGTTACCATACAACACTTACAGTACCCCGAAGCCCACCTTTGCCCGGACTTTGGCTATAGACCAGCGTCCCCAGCTGCATCCACAGGTTAGAACCTCGTGCTACTGGTGCGTTCGGGTCCCGTCAATCGCGATTTAGTTGGATCAGTTCACATTTGGGAGGACAATGCGTTAGTGTAGTATCCCTGCCCGACCAATACGGAAGCACTACAGAACTAATACGGAGCTTTGCCTAATGTATATTAATTTTAGTGTATCTCCGTATGTAAGCGTACGGCGTCTGCTGCATAAAAGCGGCTGCGCATTTCTGTTTTGATGAAGATTAGATTAGATTAGATTGGATAGCAATGAAAGCTAACTCGAAGAATAAGGATTCAGCCTCTAGGTGAGCACCGGAGAGAAAGTTATTTATTTTGCCGCTTCTTCTTTCACGAACGATTATATCTCAGGTGTGTACCTGAAAGTAGAATAAAAGTAATTATTGTTGATTTCACCGCGCCTACCACTCGGCTACCCGTTACATTGGTGGCAGCGGTGTAGTTTTAAATAAAACAACGTGATTCGACCCCAGACTCCGATGGCTCAACCCGCTACAGCTCCGTGCGACGAATCAAGATGAGAATCATGTTTCTTGCCTTCCTCGGCCTGGCACTGCTTATTAGCCTGCAGCTCAGTCAGGGTGCTAGCGTGGATCACCCTTCTCTCCGCACGGCACACACTGGAGACTCCGATGGCGATTCCAAGTGACCCGCTACCTACATGTGTTCTACCGGTGGTGATGGCGAAGCTGATGAGGACGACAACAGGCAGGCTGGTACCCAATACAAGGAGGGTATTCACCAAGACCAGCAGCGTTTGATTTTCGCCGGCACGCAGTCGGAAGCAGGAGCCCACTCTTCACTTGGTACTTCGCCTCCGTAGTGGGATGCAGATTTTGTCATCACTCTTTACGTCGCGCCAAGCGATTCTATCGACAATGTGAAGACCACGATTCAAGACGAGGAGGGAGTGATCTGTCTGACGCCGAGCTGGCCGCTCTGAGTGACCGGCTCAACCAAGATGAAGATAAAACCTGGCTTGCTCTCCGCCGTAGCTCCAGCCGCCGCCGTGGTTACTAACGCTGATTCCAGGTATGGCATTTTCTTTCCTGTCTTCCTTCAGTCTCCCTGTTCTCTTCAGTCTTCCTTTATGCGAGTGTGTGAATCCAGTTTAGTTTGGTAGGCGTCTGATCATGGTGAGCCACGGCTTACCCAGCTAACGTGGGACAATGTGTGTGACAACGCCCCTTATAGTTATAGTGTATTCAGTTCGGTTTTTGAACTGCGATGTTCCTGGCGGGTTGTGCCAGCGTAGTGCAGCAAGAGTGCTGTAGTTTTTCAGGTCCTATTTGAAGGACAGTTCTTTCCCCTTTTGACCCCGTGAGATCGTGTGAACCTGGTGTGCGTCTACTTTATGATTTGTTTATCAGTTCATTCTTCTGTCTATTCCAAACATTATCATTTCCGATATAATTTGCCATATTCCGGTTGACGCTGTGTTCGTAACTCCTCACTAATTTTTGGAAAATCACGAGGGCGTGATTATCTGTAGGAAGGGAGGGTGTAGTATCCCTGCCCGACCAATACGGAAGCACTACAGAACTAATACGGAGCTTTGCCTAATGTATATTAATTTTAGTGTATCTCCGTATGTAAGCGTACGGCGTCTGCTGCATAAAAGCGGCTGCGCATTTCTGTTTTGATGAAGATTAGATTAGATTAGATTGGATAGCAATGAAAGCTAACTCGAAGAATAAGGATTCAGCCTCTAGGTGAGCACCGGAGAGAAAGTTATTTATTTTGCCGCTTCTTCTTTCACGAACGATTATATCTCAGGTGTGTACCTGAAAGTAGAATAAAAGTAATTATTGTTGATTTCACCGCGCCTACCACTCGGCTACCTATTACATTAGTTCTAATTTCTTACTTTTACGACGGGGCTGCACCAGTAGAGGTTTTTCAGAACCACTCACAGACGTACACAGCAGTGCAGCTAGTACAGAGCGGTTTTTATACGGGTAATGTAGTTGTTATGATTCTTTTCTATTTTTTTATTCTGTTTACTATGCGCGGGCGCGCCCGGCCGGGCCATCCTATCAAAAAAAAGGCCGAAAAAGGCTGTGACGGCCTTGCTACGTACCAACAGATTGTATAATCGAACTTCTTGCTTTGCCGGCATGCAACTCTAACTACAAAGTCTTTATTTGGGGCTGTGCAATCTCGGTGCTACTCACGTATCAAACAGGCCAGACTCGAGTAAAAAATACAGTTGTAGATCTACGAGATTTCACGAGACGAGACTGGACCCATTGGCATGTTTCGTATGAAGGAAACAAGTCACTGAACCTCTCTATAAGGCCATCATTTTTTATATCTATGTTTCGCGTCAGTTCAACTTCCAGAATCATATGCGAGAAGTGGAAATAAATAAAAAGTTGCAAAAAAAAAAAGGATCATCAGAGGTGTATAGCACTGTACATACTATTGTCAATAGCTCGTGCATGGTGTACATTCGAAAGAAAAATCGTACATCGAAGCACAAATCTGGGTTATCAGCAAGAGGAAATATTCACTTTGGACAGAGGAGGCAACCGTTGGTGCCCATGCTTCGCTGGATTATTGTACTCGCGGCCTTCAGCAGCAGTGCAAAGAGCTCCGAAACGACGCATCCTCTCAGCTTGAGGCGATCGATGCGGTCTGGTGTAAGCTCAAAGAATTCTGCTCGCAGATTTAGCGAGCTGCCAACAGTGGGCAAGAAACGTCCACGGCACGTTCTCTGCAAATAAAGACAAATATAATGTCCAATTACGACCTTCCTCCTGGACACTCTGTGCAGATGGACAATGTAGACTTAAACTTCAAGCAGGATTGTAAACATTTAGGAGTGCAGCTCAGCAGTAATCTTAAAGTTCGATAATCATTTCAATACCATATCCAAGAAATTTCAGCAAAGAGTAAATCTATTGTGCTATATGGGTCGCTATCTACCTTACCCCAACATTGCCTTGCTCTACAAATCATATGTACGCCCCACAATAGAATATGCCACCCCAATCTGGAGCCTCACCCTAACTACTGCACAGCTAGCTATGTTTGATGTCCTGCAGGCTAAGGTTTGTAGACGGTTACTTAGATCAGCCAAGATAGAATTTGACAGATATTATTATTATTATTATTATTATTTGAAAGTAGAACGGAGGCAGAAAATATTACAAAAAATGTATTATCTACGCATGCATCTACGCAAGAGTCACCACCAGCCAATTAGGACATGTGTCAAAGTATTGAACGTTTTCGTTCCCTTCTTGTCAAAATACTACAGGGAATGATGGAAATAAGCTAAAAGACTACAACTATAAGGAAAAGAAGTTCAGAAATATATCACTCCAATTATGTGTAGAAGTGACACGAAAAAATAGATGTGAAGAATCAAGAAAACAGCATGCAAATCCAATAAGTGACAAAAACGTAGTGACAAGAAAAAGAGAGAAATATCAAGAGATCAAGGGATCTATTTCGCACCTTCACGACGAACAGTGCCAAACAACTGCAAAGACAACACATTCTCCTTCTGAACACAAAGCTCAGGGTCTAACTTACGTATGTACAAAGCTTCCAACACGCCAAGATGTAACAAAGACCTACCACGCGACAAAACAGAGAATACATCATCGGAATACCACTCACGACAACTAGCACTGCCCGACAGGTGACACTTGATTGCCGAGGTACCGTTTCCCTGACCCGACGATTTGGCCGTTGTCACCCCGATATTGCCGCTTATTATTATTATTATTATTAGACACAATCTCATAGCATGTGACAAGCATAGCTAATGCAGGGACAAAATCCCCTGAGACAAGGGCGTTGAGCCAGCCACGGCAAAAGTAAGCTAGGAAAACAAAGCAAATATGAATTAAAGCAGAAAATGAATGGAAAATTACAAAGAAAAACGATTAACGGAAGTGAGCTTTATCATGCTTGCGAATCTCTCCCATTACGCCCTGCGTAATGGGAGCGGCAAGCGAGCGGCAATATCGGAGGTGACAACGGCCAAGTCGT